CGAAGTATATGTAAGTGTATTGTATCACATTAAAGACAGCGCCAAGACTAGTCTCTACTAGGCACTAAAGAATAGGGTGCTTAGCATGATATGCGTTTACTATAGCTGTGGAATGGTGGTCGGATCAGACAAAGATGAATTGTATAAAGGCTATGCAAAGTATAGCGGGGTACACCACTACAACCACACAAGGTATCGCTGTATACGTCACGATACACGGTCACGTTACCGCGGGCTATACTGGTAATACTGCGCAGCTCTATTTCACCTCGGTTTGGTACTGAATACGATTGTTTGCGGGCCTGTAGAGTTAACTTTCATTATATGGCATTACAGCTTAATATGGTTGGACGCAGAGTATTACGCAATCCGTACTCGAACTACGAACAAAACATCTAGCGGTCGTTAGGTTACCTGATTAGAATATAGGGTCAAGGTTACAACTGACTAACGCTTGACTTGGAAAATTCATTCAATTCATTAGTACATCTTGTGATTAATTTTCTGTACGTGCCAGGCAAAAAATGTGTAGATCCTGACCTAGTGATATATACTTGCTACCTCAACTAATAAATATCAAGGATGGGGAATGATGTGAACACGGTGCGTAAATTAACGGAGGAAAAGTAAAGTCCGTTCAGGAGTAAATAACCCTAACATACAGTCACAATGCTCGAACGTGCCTAGTGGCATACTGCGTGAGACTTACTACCAGATTAAAACCACCATTTAATTCCATCACAGTGTATGGTACGGCAATACGGTTTCTCTGTGGCTACTTTCTGTTTATGTAGAGGTTAAACCACTACATCCTCTCCCCTTTTCAACACGACAAGATGATTTCAATGTGATATTGCACTAAATAACAAATTAGAACTCAATGTATTATACTCAGTTTGGAATCCATCCCTGGCTAATATACATCGCAGTTGATCTCTATGTGCTATAATTGAGTGAATAGTGAGTCATGGTTTTGTTAGGTACTGTTTATGAAATATACACGCATATATATATACCTTTAAACCTACATTCCTTGTAACACTGGTATTCGTAAGGCTTTTATATATACGAACGTTTCATCCCTAACCTAGCATAACACGCTTGTTTTCTATGTGCCGCTGTATAATTCAGTCAACTAAATTATAGATTGCCAATACAACCTGTCTACAAATCCTTAAACATACACAAACAGGATAACTTCACACTTATAACTCTTATGGTACTTGTTACTTACACTACTAACAAACCTCTGTATTGTTAGTAGAGAGTAGTCACAACGAGTTTCAACTAAGGATACTCTCCGTTGTGCGCAAGAGTATTGCTCTAGTGAGATTACAACGTTTATTCGGCGAATGTGAAATCAATTTTTTTTCACATTGTTTTATTATAGAGGAGATAATACTCGTCTATGCTCATAGCCAAAAATTTCAATGAAATTTCCAGCACGCTAAGTATGTTACCGACACAATTTTGAAATTTTTATGGTAAAATGGTAGTTTTGGATATTTCTCACCTACGCAGAAGGAGTATGGGATACAAAATCTTTTCGCCACATTGATTAAGACCATATGGACCAAAAATAGTCCGTCAGGTTGTTTTTAAATGTTCATATTATTACCGAGAAAACTCGCAAAAACTGTTTAAAATCCAAGTTATATGTAAAAATAGGGAATTTTTAGCGCGAATAACAGAGCATACTAATAAAGTAAGGCACTTTCAAATAACAATCCCTGACGGGTTTATTTACCACAAAATGTGTTACCATTAAAACGAGTGTAAAATTAAATTAAATCGAATTCGGTATCACAGAGAAATATCCTTTATTACGATCGGCTACTATGTCCAGAAATCGAAACGGGAAATTCAGCGTTTTTCTATGTTTTCACAATTGTAGTGGACGGCCTGTGTGCAAAACGGGCGTGAACGTATGTTGATATATCCTATTGTTAGTACATTACCTGCGACATATCCGATGACTAACGTGACCCACTAAATTGGTAAAATGTCATGCACCTTGACGAATTGTAAGAATTACGAGTCGGTTTACCATTGCAGAACGCACTGAACTCCGCTCATCCTGACGTCACCAAAGCTAATATTGGTAAACCAACTGCGCGCGATGATAAGCAGCGATATAGTAAGTAGTAGCTGTGTGTTGCGAGGGTGTTAGAACTATTCTTGGACGTGGGATCACTAATGATTGAATTCACTAGCAGATGATACATGGAATGTGACAGTGATACAGCTGTGAATGACAGCTGTTAGCAGGTTTGACGCGGGTAGTTACCGGCTTAGTTAATATTCATGGTTCTGTCATCATGTCTCTCGACGTCATATAATGACGGTCAAGTGCCGCTGCTTACTACACCATGCTACGCGGGCAAGCAAGAAACGGGCTGTGACAGTCACAGCTGATCCTGTATATGCGCAGAAATGCGCATGTTCACATGTGGGCAACATAGGTGTTAGCGCATATCGAATAAAGTTTTGAAACGAAAAATCGCATGAAAATTTCATGCACCAACGTTTTGGAGATGTATCCTTCAACCATGAACTTTCACAATTCAGTAAACTGGACTAATAGTTACTAATCGTTCATTACTACTAAGGAATATTAATTTTTATTTCTGCCTTTATAACATATGTCACTGTTATGTGTATACTGAAGTCTATACTGAAATGCAGATTTTCACAAGTCATATGAATTTCGCAGAATGCATCTCAGAGCATCTAAAATCAAACCCGACCTCCCCCCCCCGAAAAATGGCAAAAACTGGTGTATTCAGAAAACTTAAGGGCTGGTGTATTTTTAAGGGCTAGTAGATTTTACAGGTGACTAGCCCTGCTGGCTAGTGAACATTTTAGGTTAGTTTCAAGCCCTGAGTACACTGTTTACTTGAGAAATCACCGACAATTAAAAACTGCCGGGCATTTAGGAAATCGAAGACCGTGCCCGGCTGCCGGGCATATAGCCACTTCGTAAAAATAAAGCAATCAAACATCATCACTTCTTTTATTAACATAATTGTGCTGGCTTCATTTAATGTAATAAGAATTAATGATATAATGGGCTGTAATAAATGTCAATGCCCATGAACTGAAGTACACATACCAGAATTGTATATTCTCTCATTAAAATAATGGTGACCTTAATTAGGGTTAAGGTGCACGTTAGTCATTGGGGTTAGGATTAGGGACAGGGTGATATAAATGATAACGAATTATGTACTGGGGTAATGAATTATGCTTATCAGCACTTTCTAATATTCAATCATCTCTATCCCTGAACCTCATATTCAGAGTCATACATATCAGGTACTATTCACTATTCAGTTATGAATATTTTACGCATTCGGGAAATATATGGCTTAATTATAGTCATGTCTCAGAGTAAGATATTAAAACTTAGAAGTTAGAAGACTCTTGTCCATGTTAGTTGATAAGATAGGACTGGACATCTTCTCTATCCCTGAGCCGGTTCAAGGATAGAGAAGATGTCCAGGATGGTGATACTGATTGGATAGGATGACGTTTATTAGTGGACATGCTCTCTATCATTGAGCCGCTGCCTCTGCACTACAGTACTGGCACTGCTGGTAGTACTAGTACTAGTAGTAGTAGTACTAGTAGTAGTAGTACGAATACGATATATATCATATTGCTAAGAACTTTTAACACACGGCAATGTCAGACAGTACACATGACGCACATCGATTCCCGAAGTTCTCGGACTACTGCGTACTGAAAAAAATAAAACCAAACTTCATACACAATCGGAAGCCCTTTTAAGTTTTGGCACTGCGTCATCTGATCCACTAGAATTGTCCTCCTCGTCGCTGCCTGAAATTCTCCTCCTTCGTCTATCCGCCATGATGCATTCTTTCACTTCCCCTATATACAAGATGTTTTGTTGAAGCGATACTAAATTGTTTTATAAACACGAATACAATAAATATTGAAATTAACATGCTTTTGTTTAGATATTTGTTTTAATTTTACTAGGTTGGTTAATAGTTCTTGTTTGTTTTGGCTAAGCAGCGTAATTTGTAATAATTGCTAGCAGTGAGCGTGACAGGGCCTACACGAGAGGCGACACATTACTTGGCGCGAAATTGTAAAGCGTCAAAGATTTTGCACAAGGTTTTGCGTTTCCTGTTTTTTTTCATTTTATACTAATTTTGTGTACGTGATGGATGACGAGCACAGCAAATATGATCCAGCAATTTTACCGGATTATCTACCTATCTATTACAGAAGATTGTTTCCATATAAAGAATACTTTCGTTGGTTGAGTTATGGGAATGCGAATGGTAGGCAGTCCAAGGATCACAGGAGATACAACACTGAGCACAGGCACTTGGAGCGTTTCAATAAAATATAAGGTTCAAGGATAGAGATTAGAGATGATGTCCAGGATGGTGATTGGATATGATGATGTTTATTACTGGACATGCTCTCTATCCTTAATGTTTCTCTACTCTCTTTCACCTATTAGTATTATAATTATTGCCGACGGCGACAATTTCCTGTAAATGCCGTCCAAATACTCATCTGCAACACACGCTGGCTGCTGCACACTGACACATCATAAATATATAGCAGGTAGGAAAGCGCGCTGCCAAAATTCGATTGACGCTCGCTGGATTTCACACGAATACAACACAAATATTCAACCATTCTACTCCATCTTTGTTTCTATTTGAAGGACAGTGCATGTTCACTTGTTATAAAAACATACTGTCTGTGTTCGTAACCGAGCTGTGTCACGCAAAATCACACAGCCTGACGAAATTCTCGCGTTCGCTCCTGTTGCGCAGTTTATGTAAATGGCTGCAAGTACAGCTACAGGGCTATAGGCGGCACACTGCATTTTGGGAAATTACCACGCTGCTTTCCAACTCCCGTACGAACCCCGTCAAAGCCGCCAGTGGAGCGTTGCAATAATGCGGTGCGAAAATGAGGTCACGAAGAGCGCCGGTGGATGTTTCCTGATTCCGACAGCCATTTAGATAAACTGCGCAACGGGAGCGAACGCGAGAATTTTGTCAGGCTTTGTGTGATTTCGCGTGACACAGCTCGGTTACAAACACAGACAGTAGGTTTTTATAACAAGTGAACACTGTCCTTCAAAAAGAAACAAAGATGGAGTAGAATGGTTGAATATTTGTCTTGTATTCGTGTGAAATCAAGCGAGCGGCGAGCGAATTTTGGCAGCACGCTTTCCTACCTGCTATATATTTATGTTTCAGTGTGCAGCAGCCAGCGTGTGTTGCAGATGAGCATTTGGACGGCATTTACAGAAACTTGTCGGCAATAATAGGTGAAAGAGAGTAGAGAAACATTAAGACTTTGGTAGTAAATAGATTTTGTATTTATTTAGCATTATATTTTATTGAAACGCTCCAAGTGCCTATGTGGCACAGTGCAGTTTACTGACATATGATACTGTTTAGATACAATGTCAATAACAGTTACAATGTAATCCGCACAAGTAGGTAAACAACATCCCTATTCTTAATTGCTTGGGTTGGGTTACATTATCGCATTTAGTTACTGGGACAATATGACTCGTCGACTGTCGATTTTCTGCATCTGCAGCGCGTGTTTGAATTGTTTCACTTTCAGCACTGTCATGATTAAGCTACTTGGCTAGTTAGTTGGGAACTAATTTGAGACCTGAGTTCCCTTTCGCTAGTTGGTCATAGAGAGTATTGTCATGCTTAGCAGACAACACTGCTGATAATGAGGGCACACAGGCTTAGGTAAACTGCTCACAGCCTTTAAAGTCAATAGTGGACATGCTAACGACGGCCACCACAGTTCTCACTTGTATTGACATTGTATACAGGATATGCACAGCTACTGAGCTAGTATTATCAGGGTTCTTCCGAAGCCTGGCTTAAGTTTAGTGCACATGTCGGATCCACCATGCATTCAAAGTTGAAGCCAATTTGCTACGTTACATCTTATAAATCCCCCGACTATAAATCTACCTGCCATAACTTTCAGCTGTTGACTTCTGAAATTCCAGCGCAGACATGCTATGTTTTTGGGAGCTTGATGTCTCCGACCTAGCCAAGTTTACTTCATATTGAGGTTGCTTATGATACACGTAATAAACCCCAATTGGTAAAAAAAAAACTTCCGGGCCCTCCCCTATCCGTCCATAAACACCATGTCTTCTGAAATTCCTGGGGAGAACCCTTGCAAGATTGATCTAGCTAATTAGAGCATCATAGCTGCTTGTTTATAATGTGGTCCAGTTAGCTAGGGCGAGAAATGAAGCTTATGTCTCTATATACATGTGTGCATTTGCATTTATAATTAATAGTGATATCGCTAGGATCGTACTTACACTTCAGTAACATATTCCTACTAGTATGGTTCATTGCCTTTGCAAAGATTCATGAAAATTTCAGCAGAAAAAGTATACATTTTTATAATGAAACTGGAAAATAGTATGCACTCACTATGCAGTGGACTGAAGTTCTTGTTTATGTTTGTTTAGGCCTTGTATCAAAGTCAACTTTTCAAAATCGAGAATTTTCCTTCACGCTGAAAGATGACATCTACATTCGTTACCAATCATTTGCGGACCAAGCTGAACTGGAAAAAGAGATAATCAAGCGATGTCCATACAAGATTGACATAGGAGCTGTATATACATCCAAGGTAAGGAATGAGTTATATTTTTTTAGGGAATGCTGAGTACATTTTTGTACTGAAGATGAATAATTTGCATTTAATAATGATTTTAGTTTTGAAATGAAAGTAACAATCTATAGATGCTTACTTTTTATTTAATAAATAGTGAGTTGTGATGTTATGTGATTTTTCAAATTTCAGCCAAAAGACAGGTCACCTGCTATAACCCTAACACCAGTAGAGAAGGAACTTGTATTTGATATAGACATGACAGATTATGATGATGTGCGGACATGTTGCAGGTATTTATAAAATATTGTTCACAATAGAAAAATACAGTCAAACTTAATTATATATAACTATAAGGTTCAGTCAAGAAAAGCACCAAATGTGACTTATAATACAGATTCTCCATGGCTGCCTTTCTACAGAAGTGGTTTCAATGTGTAACTGCCACTCAATGGAAATACCCAAGAGTCCTTTTTGACTGGTACCCATGTTATACAGGAGACCACTAGTACTAGTTCACCTAATGTGTTCAATGATATTACATGTCCACCACCAGTTTACACACTTTTTACAACAGTACTCATGGATGTACTGTTTTGTTAGGCCTAAACAAAATATAGGTGTGGTTACGGTTTCCCGACCGACCCTATTTATTCCCAGCGACCCTAAACATTTAATTGTCAAATTTCTTTAAAGTAAAAAAAAAATTATATATATATATGAATTGGACAGTTTCTGCTTCAAAAGGCACAACGCACATCCTTCGTACATAGTTCGTAAATAAAATATTTCAAGAAAATAAAATGTTTTCTCTACCTACCTACCCTATTTCTTTCAGCATGTAACGGTAAACACACATATATTTTGTTTTGGTCTTACTGAAATTCCATTTTTAGTATCATACCAGAAATGATTAATTTGATTTATTTGGGGTTTGAAATATTGATCTAAAATGTTATTTTTATTATTACAGATTTCATTACACATTTTAAATATGTATTCCATTTTCAGTGGAGCAGATATATGTCATAAGTGCTGGCCCTTTATGACACTTGCAATCAAAGTAATTGACCGTGCTTTGAAAGGTAAGACATATTATTGTATAAAGACTTGCCATGTTTAATTTAAATTTTTGTGAACCATTACAGGGTTTCTTCTGAGGGAAAATTAGACAAAGGAGGTATAATGGCCAGTTTGGGAAAAAAACGTGCATGATGGATTCAAATACAGGATGTATTGATATACTTATAGGTATATAGATACAGGATATACTTATCAGTAAATACAGGAACATTTTCACAACGTCAATGTTAAATTTGACAACGGCGGTGCGCCACTGTGCCTCTTATGTATAAGAAACCCTGCATTATAAGCCTCCGTCGCATAAGGATTAGAGGTGATAAAATGTAACATAAAAAACAACGTTGTCTTTTTTAGCAGTTTCTATATTAAATGTGTGACAGGAATCACGGACAGGAAAAATCTGTCCGAATTTTTTTGTAACAATAAATTCCCAGATTCTGAGACAAATATCTCCAGCATGTGTCTTCTTAGTTCCTTCTCTCCTCGTGGAGAATAGGGCTGGATCTCCAGCCTATAAAACAATATATATGCAATGAGCAGAAATGGGTAAGCATGCAGTGTGATCTACGCTTTTGTTACATTGTTATTGCAGATGATTTCGGCTTCCAGCATCGACTGTGGGTGTATTCGGGGCGTAGAGGTGTCCATTGCTGGGTCTGCGATGAGGAAGCGCGTAAGCTGTCTGTGAGCGCTCGGTCAGCAGTAGCCGAGTATCTAACACTCATAAAGGTTTGCTCCACTTCCATGTGAATTTATGGCTTCGTTAATATACTAATTAATATACTCTGTGATGGCTATGATAGACGTCGTTGAGTTCGTGTTCTTTAAATACTTTGACTTTGTTAATATACTAACTAATTAGTAATATAGTCTGCGATGGCTGTGATGACCCTCTTCTCAATTCCTTAAAAAATGGTTGGGTGGTAGGTGTAAACTGTTTACCCCGCGTTTAGGCGAATCAATCAAATGTCGTTAAAAATGTTTGGTGAAAAATGTGTGATGGCTGTGATGAATTAAAATTGACTTTATATTGTTTGTTTTATTTAGGGTGGGAATACAGGAAAAAAGTTCACTTTGTATGAAAATGTTCATCCATTAATTCAGTAAGTGTCCAAAATTATCTCTCTTTGTTATATTTGATATATTTTTAACATTTTATACAGAAAATCTTTAGGTAAGTTTGGTCAACGTCAACCCTCTATATATATACTTTGCTGTTCTATTAAATATATTATGCGCAAGGTCTGTACTAAAAATGTGTTGAATATTTATTAGAGAGTCCTACACATTGATCAAGAAAGGATTCCTTGATTTGGCTATAGTTAAACAAGACTTCCTGGGAAGCAAAGTGGAATGCAACAAATTTCTCAAGTTCATCGTAGATGATGATATCCTTTCCAGTTGCTAGAAGACTAAACTTGTATAACTCATTAATTTGTTTAAGATTATGTACCGTATTTACTCGTGTATAACTAAGTCACATTCTTGTATAAGTCTCATTCGTGTATAAGCCGCACCCCATGTTTCTGTCTTGTGTGCACGGAACTGGTCCCATACTGGGACTGATTTCTTAGCCTCGTTTATGTCGCATCGCTGATTTTTTTATTGAAGTTATGTACAAAAAAGCGCGACTTATACACGAGTAAATATGGTAGTATGCTATCTATGTGCATCAAAAATACTTATATATAAAATATTGTAGAGAGTAATAAGACAACTATATAAGCTCAGTAAGGTTAGTAAAATAGGAGGTAGGAGGTAACTATTTAATTATTTAAGATATATATCACTATAACTACATAACTTAGTTCATTATCTCTTAACTCGTTCATCACGTCTAAGAAAATTGTTAGAAGCAGAGTTTGAGAGCTTGGACACAAGTAAGCAGCGATGGGCTTCAGCTGTCAATGTAGTTCGCACTACACTGGAGCAGGTAACCTAGTAATTATATTCTCTCTCTCTCTCTGTGTCTGTGTCTCTGTCTCTCTTTCCTCTCTCTCTCTCTCTCTCTCTCTCTCTGTCTGTCTGTCTCTCTTTCCTCTCTCTCTCTCTCTCTCTTTCCCTCTGTCTGTCTGTCTCTCTCTCTCTCTCTCTCTCTCTCTCTCTCTCTCTGTGTCTGTCTCGGTCTCTCTCTCTCTCTGTGTCTGTCTCGGTCTCTCTGCCTCTCTCTCTTCCCTCCATCCCTCCCTCTCTCCCTCTTTCGCTCTCCCTCCTTCTCTCCCTTTCTCTCTCTCTCTCTCTTCCCACCATTCCTCCAGGCTCCCTCTCTCTCTCTCTCACTAACATGATAATAGATTATATAAATAAATACAAACCGTGGAACATTTACAAAATTATCTTGTGTACAAGATTCGTTTTTATTTGAGATCAATTGTGAGTCCCCATTGTGTTTCTGTATGGTTGTGACGTGTATGCTATAGACTCTTGCTTGCTACTTGCAGCATTGCGCCATATTTACGAGTTCTTACCATGTGCGTATGGTCAAGTAACAAAACTGATTTCTGTATAAATATAAAGTAATTCTTTTAAATTTAAACCAATTTATGTTCCTGTTAATGAAATTTAAAGAAAAGAATTCTTCATCGATTTGCTAGGCTCTACCATTATCTGACACATTAGTGAACAAATTTTTAGGGGTCTCTGAAAAGGAATGGTAGGCACTGCATTGAGGAGGTCATGCTGTCCTTCTGCTATCCAAGGCTTGACATTAACGTTACTAAAGGTCTTAACCATCTGCTGAAGAGTCCTTTCTGCATACACCCAAAAACAGGTATGTGTACTAAGAAGTTGTCGAATGGGTATTAAACCACGTGGGAAAGCTATATTGTAGCATGTGATGTGTGCGCAGGTGTCCCAATGCACTGCCATGGCCACTTACATGACCATCAAACAAATATTGAGTTGTCATGATGTTGAGGTTCTATCTGTAGTGTACTTTGAATATATATATGTTGAGCTAGGTTAGCTATATGGAAACGAGGATATGATGTGGTAACTATAGGAAACCATGATATTTGTTAGTGGAAGGTAATCACTCATTTATTGTAGAGGCATGTGTATTTAATAGTATAATCTGGTGCGGTCACTAGATGGTATAGTGGCTGGCGCAACTATACTGTTGTGCTTTGTGTAGTGTAATAATGTTATAGTGTAGCTGGAGTGCTGTGCTCAGTAGAATGTACCATCGTTGGTGTGGGTATTGCTGCTGTAGTTAGTATTGTGGACTCTTTCAGTACGGGGTGTGGTGATGTGGTGAGTATAGTAGCTAGACAATACCTAGTGTAGCTGTACGGATATGGTCAGTATAGTATACCATTGGTCAGTAGAGTGCACCATATAGTGAGTATGGTAGTTGCTGTTGTATGCAGGTTTACATTTCTGCTTCCATATTGCAGGAAGAGTGTGTGTCCCCATCGATCCGGAAGATGCTGACAGCTTCGATCCATTTACCGTTCCCACCATCAGCCAGCTAGTTGATGAATTCAATGAATATGAAGAAAAGAATAAGGGAAGCGGTGACACCGTGAGAGGTAAAACAGGTTTAGCATTTGCTTTGCACTGCATTTTGTCATTTCCAGCAAATTTTAATCATATAGTTTGTTTTAGTGAGCTGAGTGTTTAGCATGTATGTGTAATATTGTAAATGACATAAATATATTAATAATAAGTGAAGAAAATATTGTGTAGATAGTCTTCCATGATGACATTCCATTTTTCAGATGTAAAGAAAACTAGTCTGCAGAAGAGCCTAAAAATATTTGAGAAGTTCTTGCGGAAACTGGAGGCATCTTGGACGAGCAAAAAGATAGAGCAAAATGGTGAGTAGGCTCTCTGCAGTATAATCCCCTTGAAGTCTGCATTTGTATTGATTGCAACATATAACATATTATAATAACACAACACAATAACATATAATAATAGTGTCATGGAACATTATCAGCTTATCTGAGGGTTAGCTCAAATGAGTTCACAATGGCACTCGCGTCTATCTTCCGTCCATTGAATATTAAATAACGCAAATGATAAAATGACCACATCACAGTAATTAGCAAATTACCTTAAATTATAATAAAGCATACAGTTGTAAAATGTATTCAGAGCATTGTGTTAACTAAGCAAGAGAGATTATTGATAAGGCGCTATATTTGTAAAACAATGACAATTCTACTGCTATAGACTGTCTTGGGAATAAAAGATTTTAAAACCTGCCCAGTCCTGATTTGAAAATTTTTACTGTATAACGTGTGGTTAAATCCTTAAAAGTTACCCAATCCTGCTCAAAAGTTATCAGTCCCAGACTGAAGGACAGGCTGCTATTTCCAACAATAATTATGGTTATATTATATTATATTACATAATAATAACGTGTATGCATTTTCAGAGGCAACGATGGAGTTTTGATATGGTTTCTATAGACTGATAGAGGCTCCTTTGCTCCATGCTGCTGCCTTATTGATGTCAAGGAGGGAGGGAAGCTTGTGCTTTCTGCTGATGGCACAACCTTGCGTGCGAGAAACCATGCTGCAGTAGTTCAACATTGACTGATATATGGGCAGGAAATTTTTTTCACTGCCATTTATCAAATTGTTGGATATTTACATTGGGTTTTCCCCCGTATGTGGGTGTATAGCGCTCGCGGTCATTGTGTTGTATATGATTTTATGTGTGATTGAATGCATTTCACATGTCTCAGTATGCTCTGCAGTCAGTATAGGTCTCCACATGACTCTGCACTCTGTGTGTTTTCAGGTGCATGTCTTTGTTACTCTCTATGTCACCACATATTTCTGCATTCGCTCCACGCATCTCTGCCCTCGGTACATCTTTTCGTAGATCTGTTCTTTGTGTGTCTCTGCATCTCTCTGTATATTATCTGTGTCCACGCTTTGTGCTCTCAATGTCTGAGCGCTGTATGTATATATATATACACTCTGCCCTGTGCTAATTTTGTGCATTTGCCTCTGCACTCTGGGCATTATTGATGCAGTGTGTGCATCTCCGAAATGTGTATTTCTGGCATCTTTGTGAATGTGTCTCTCACACATGACAAGTTTGCGCGTATGTAATCATCAGTGGTGCAGAGTTTCTAATCTCCTTGTTGGCAGGCCAGCAATGCACAGAGAAACCGTGAAGCGTGCAGCCGATGTAGTTTACAGATTGGGGAATAATGTAGCGCAAAAACTCACGATTGTATTATAAAATGCTTGTGCTTTAAACACGTGGTATAGACGCCCTTGAGAATAATCCATTTAATTATCCATAATATTTGGTGTGGATATGTATAGACCTGTATAGAGTGAAAATAATAGCGAAATGGCTGTTTAACTATTTTTATCTGTAACGGTTGCTTTTTTCAGCATGTACACACCGTCAAATATCTTCAGTCACGACTTTGCAATTCATCTAAGTCATTGTGTTCTAATAACGCCATCAACCTATATATGAATTCAATATATGCGTTTCCTCACGTCAATAGTAATAATATTGTGTTATAGTATTTCGTTCTTTGCCACCAGGTGGCGTTAGACGGGTATTATTCACTTTTACTTTTACCTGGCCAATTTGTATGTAGGAACAGTTGAGGATTCAATTTAGTTTTTAATGAACTGGCTTAACGTACACATGGATTCTCTGAACGTCTTTATATACATTGTTGTAACTTGTATACTTTCCAACAAAAATTGTGTGGTGTAAATATGAAATGAAAAGGTGGTTAATTTTGTGTGCTTAGTTCAACAGTTATTCTAATTTATCTACAATAGCACCCTAGCAGGTTTTTCAACATTTTTCAAACAATACATTTCAATATACAAAATGACCAATGAGATCCACGTTTGTTAGTCTCAAACGGTAAATGATGCCAGCTGCAAATATATTATATATATATATATATATATTATATTTTTTTAATGCTATACAGAGGGTAAGCTTTATTAACAAATAATTAAATATGTAGCTGGATCATTGGCAGTCGCACTTGCGCTCGCTTTTGTTTGTTTTCTGTCGCGCAAGGGGCAGAGTCCCATGGAGAAATTTACACAGCCATTATAGATGAACGAGCTATAGAAGAACGAACTTTAGAAGTCGATACTCGTCACCATCTTGGCAGCATGCGGATTTGGGAAAGTTTTGGATTTTCGGATCTGTAACAATTGTACCAGTAGCCGCTTTTGTACAAACAACCGTAGATGTTCTAGTTCAGCGTACTTCCCTTTCCGTGTAGACGCGTGAGGGCGTGTATATTTTTCAATAGATTCTGTATAATATTATGTTGGAAATGGTCATCCTTACGCCATTTCTTATAGGCGGCAGATGCCAATGCGTCGACCTCGGAATAACACAAGGAGTGTGCTGCGTTTATAATGAACGTGATAAATGCGTCTCGCCGACTTGCGACAGTCGCTATGACGTCAATGCATAACCTTCAGCTGACACGGCGCAAAGACGTCGGCATAAAGCCGGTTATGCTGCGTAGAATTCGCCTGCGGGCAGAAACTCTTCGACGGGGAAATGTTTCGAAACAATCACGCTTGACTGCGTGTGGCACAGTCGTTGCAAACGTTAATGACTGGCCGCGGGTTAGGCGCGCAGCCTTGTAATCAAGACGCCACAATTGTCACGTCCGCACGTTTGGCATTGCAACAAGAAATTATTTTAACGTACTTCCTTCGGCATAACCACATAGAGATCTTGTTCAATTCAACACAATTGAGCCAAATTTTAGGTCAGTTATTTTGAGTTTCGGCAAGATGCGTGTGGGGGGGGGGAGGAAGAACGAACAATTGTTTTCTGGCATCCATTACATATTTACTTCATAGGTTGCATAGCTTTTGAATAACGAGGATGAATTATGAAGCTGTTTAGAGCGTCCTCAGGGGGTAATTTTAACTGCATCAAGGTAATTTTTACTGACAGGGATCATCAAGTTTTACATAAAAATGTAGAGCAATCGCAACAAAACAACGAGTTAAAATTGTAAAACAAATAAAAAACCGCAACAACTTGTGTTCAACAGTAAGAACTAAAATATAATTATTGGAGAATTTACTGCGCTTTAATGGCTATTTAATATTTGTAAATAAGTACTGCAACAAGCGCACTCGTGGTTGTAAGAAATAAAAACGCACTATCTTAAGTTAAACTTATCAAACAAACGTCTTTATTTATTTCTCGACTTCCAGATGAAATAAATAATAATACAGAACGCAATGTACAACCTCTAGGTATCATTATCATGATCATTAGATAGCAGCAAACACTTGTGTACGCGTACACGATTGCACGATGCCGCATATCTCACAGCTTTGTTCTGTACAAGAAAATATTTAACCAATATAACGTATTTACATGGTTTTTAAGTAAAATAATATAGTGATAGATAAATTCTTGACGCAATTAGAGCCATATAAAATAGATAGGCAGTTAACTCAATTGGTATATAAACGAAACAGCCGATTTCTTGTACTATAACTAAACTAACTTGTTTGTATATATAATATATTAACTATATACTGTCAGTGTTAGTATAGTTATCAGAGTATGGCTATGAAAGAAACGGCGTGACGCCTGTAAAATTATTCCACCAGAGTGCAAGACCGAGCCCTTATTTGCATAACCTTGAACAGAAACAAGAAAGGCGCGATTTATTACATTGAATCGTTTTCACTGCTTATAGTCATTTACAGGAGGCGTGATATAATAAGGTTTAAACTATTACTCAGCTATGCTGCTCAGCAATGCTATTACTCAGCTATGAAATGATACTGATGTCAACTGTGTAAAATGTGGAATTTAGTAATTTATGTTAGTGATCGAGGACAGCTGTGTTGCCCCAAAACTGCTATGCAATGTGATACTTGTTTCAAATAAAATCTCTCGTTTGAAACTGTGCTATATGCAATATAAAGTAATGCATCGATCGCCATTATCCACCCCATCCCCGTATGTGAATGTATGTGCATGCGTGCGACGCTGTGTGCGTGCACGCGTATACGTGCGAAGCTGTGTGCGTGCACGCGTATACGTGCGAAGCTGTGTGCGTGCACGCGTATACGTGCGAAGCTGTGTGCGTGCACGCGTATACGTGCGAAGCTGTGTACGTACGAAGCTGTGTGTGTGCGCGCGCGTGCCTGCATTGTACATGCCTGAACTTGTACAACAAATAAAATTTATAGAGATCAACAGGAAATGAGATCACAAAAACTTGCTTTAAATAAAAATACAATAAATAGTAATACCC